CATGTTAAGCCACAAGATGCACGCCAATCTTCACTGAATTGTATTGAATCTGCTTCAAAATGCCTGCCATAAGGCTTTATTACGTTCTACACACCAGGAACTTAAAACCTCTTCAGGACCATGTTCAATTCGGTACACCAACACATATTTCTTCATGTCAAAATTGTTTATATACAAAGAGATGTCAAATTTGAAACAATGGCTCTTGTTTTCCTCCTTTGCCTCAGGGAGTTAAGATCTAATCTAGTCTGCTCAAAAAGTTCAACATGACATTCACACACAATTTTGTACCAGCTAATACAAGCTTTTTCTTAATTCAACCATATCCCATTTCACCTATACCCTCAAGAAATAAAGTCTTGTCTTCAAACAGTTAAACTGGATTTATCCCAATATTTCAAATATATTTCTAAAACTGCTGTTCTTACCAAGCATACCCATCCAGATTAGAAGAAACAGTGACAAAAGGAATTGCCTAATCAATGTAAAAGATCAAGCAGCTGCTTACCTTTAGTAGCCAGAAAAAAGAAATAACTGTCTCTCTTTACATGACAGCACAATAAAACAAACCATTTCAGACTCATTTTACAGCACATAACTGAAAGATGAAAACCACCATTGGGCCCAACTAGTATAGAAGGGAGTGAAACAAAGGGCCTCAATGAAATGCTTAATAATTGATATCCATTGTCTCAGCCACTGCCAGTCTTTGTTTCTTGTGAAAGATTGCCTGACATGGAACCACTCAGTAGACCGCCAGTGCATGAGGTTAAAGGATTCTATATTTCATGTAGCTTAATCACCACATCAACTGTCATTTCTGAAATTTCAACTTCTGCATTTAATGAGCTATGTAAAGACTTCTACCATGTGGGAATAGACAGGAGAAACCAAAATGTCTTTTGAACCATCTGGGGACTACTCCATGGATCCAGAACACAACATAAATCATGATGACTTCACATTAAAATTAAATGATATATCAAAGATATCACGAAACCGCCACAGAAATACTAATGTTGAAATTGAAAGGGGCACTATTCACTGATGATACAGCAATGAAACATTGAAGGCCCCAAATACCATTCATAAGATTAACACATAAATATCATGCAGACCATTATCAAACTAAATACACTTGTCTTCGGTCACATAAAAACCAGACAAGAAAGAAAAACTATACACCTTAATAAACAAACCAGCTCAGAGAGAGGACACCTTTTGTTGATCCAAGCAGTAACGGAACACCTGCACAAGATGTTTGAAGCGCAACTATGCTGACATGGGTCAAAAGGTAGGTGTTAAATTATTCTCCAGCCCACAGTGTTTGCATGAGGGACAGCAGATAATCGGATTCAACCAGCACGGCATCTTCCGTTTCTACAAATGTCACACATAGTTGGTGGCTGTACCTCACTCTGCAAATGTCAGTGTGCAACCAGAATATCACAAGGGCTAAATGGATATCATCTGGCGGCGATAATGAGGGTCGAGTAATGAGAGCCCACAACAAGTCTCCAGGCAGGGAGAGAGTCAGGGACTAGAGGAATATAGGGTAATTGGACTCCTCATTGATCATGTTAAGCCACAAGATGCACGCCAATCTTCACTGAATTGTATTGAATCTGCTTCAAAATGCCTGCCATAAGGCTTTATTACGTTCTACACACACCAGGAACTTACATTATTCAAATACATTTTTTAATCCATGAATAATTACTAAGACCTTTTCCAAAGTTTGAATCTTGTTTTTAGAACTCTGAAAAAATAATTCACAAAATTTCCCTTTGAAATTCAAACTGCTTTACAATATGTAAATTGACTTCACTGAAACCTCTCCTAAAAAGGAACTACCAGCAACTATTGAAATACCAGGGGAGCAGTTACCACCTTGATGTGTTGTTAACAGAGTCATTGTGAAAGTGCTTACCAGCACTGAAATGTCAATGGAACAGTGCAAGTGATAATGTTACGGTGCACTACATAATTGATACATGTTTGTTAGGCCCTGCTCACCACCTCGACCCATCCACTCCCATTGGGTCAGCAACATAGCAGTGTTTCCAAGCATGAATGAGGATAGACAACATGACTCACATGGTATTATTTTCCCTCAAGACAGCAGGTGGCGTTCTTTACAAAGGAGAAGGAAATATTTCCTGTGGTAACCTCAATACCCTGTTTTTGAGGAGTGGCTTGTATTGGCATTCAGGATACTACGACCAAGACGATTGTACACTCTACAACCTTATCCAACATTAATGCGGCTTTCCTCAACATAATTAGTAACATTGCCATAGTAGATTAGCTTACTTATTTATAGCTCTGTATCAGGTATCTTACAGGGTTTCACAGGATTGATAGAAACATCACTTGCTATCGTTGTATGGAAAAATCAAAGGTAACCATTTGGATTGCAGTTCAGTTTGGTAAATGTCAACTGTATATCAGATCATCTAAATTTCCCATTACACGTGGAGGCATAGGTTTACAGTTTGTAAAGTTTCAAAACAGTATTGAAAATAATACCGTGACATTTACAAGGAAAACTTCGGGAAAACTTTTGTTGAAGAAAATACTCTTGTGAGAAGAATATTAACTACATGAACAAAAGATTGCTAACCAAGTAATGTGTCTGTTTATCTAAACTCCTGAAAGACATTTTACCAGATAGGATTGTCAAAAGAGAATGGCTTAAAAACTTGTTTACACAAGTAGTATTAGTCAGTTCAAAATCCATTAATCAACCTGCGCTAGACGACCACACCAAATAATTTCCTTGATCAAAAGCTATCAGATTGTACTCCTTTTATTGATTTCTGGTCGGGAAACTAGACTAGCCATGATAAATCCATACACACAACATTAATTTCAGCTTCAGACATCCATTAACATCCTGCCTATATCCTCAGATAGAGACAACTAGCACTTGCTTCACCTCACAGAATACTCAAGTTGTGCTAAAAAACATAAACTATCTCGGTTAATGTGGCCTGTGATGATGATGTGAGCAGAGTTTGCATGAATGATCTGTAATAATGGTTGCGTGGAAGAGGGGCTGGAGACGAAGGTAACTCAGTGTAGCCCCCCTACAGCTGCTGTTGCTGCTGCTGCTGCCTCTAAAAGGCCGAGACAGGAAACTGTAGGGTATCTGGTCGAGGTGATGTGGTACATTCAGCCAGACCACTGTGGAGCTTATTACCATTACTTTAGGTCATCAAAAGCTATTGATTTTACTATTAGAACTTATCACACTCGTGACAGCTTGACAAGTTCAGTATACGTCAGTTCAAAGGAAATATTAGTGGTCATCTGCACTTACTTTGTGAAAAATAACTGTGATCACAGATTGTGAAGCATTTGTGAGAGAGATCAGTGTAAAACTTTCAGTTGTTGAAATTAGGCATGGACGTCTTATAGCCTTGATGCCTAAGTTCAGGATTAACAGATTTATAGATTCAAATACAGTAGCAGAAAGTATCAAGGACCACAAGACCCCATAGTGTTCAACAGTGACTCCCACAACAAGATAAAGACATTAAGCAAAATGTATCTCTTAGTCCACTTTCGACAGAGCACCCTGGATACTAGTTCCACGCCTAATATCAATCAAAAATAATTATGAGAAAGAAAACAAGTTACACCAATCCAACATTAATTTGTAATCTCAGCTGAATGTGTTCAGCTAAACATTCTGATTCCCCCTCAGGTAAATAAAAGATTTATTTTGATTGTATACATTCTATGTAAACTATGGACCCTGACAGGGAGTGCTGCAGAGTGACAAGTACACTGAGAAAGTTGAATGAGGTTAACAGTTGTTCAACATACACGAACACTGAAGTAAACATGTACCCCCTCAGTAGTGCGGATGTGTACGAGATGATGCACCAAGAAGTCAGGAGGGACACTCCTGCCTACTCCACATGCATGGTCTTCATTACTTATCAAAAACAAGGTCTGGCATGAGTTGTTGAAGCCAGCTGAGGAGATGATGGTGAGGTTGGGGGAGCCTGGAGTTTGGGGGGACCTGGCGTTGTGGACCTGGTGTTGTGGAAGGTAAATGGTAAGAAAATGAGTGTGGGCGAGGTTTCTATCAGTGGGTGGAAAGAGGATCAAAAGATCAGACTTGATTTGTCTCTTTGCAGCTTCGATACCGGTTGTGAGATTTGTCTTAGAAGAAAAGGTGCGGCTGGTTGATATTTGAGGGGTTAGCCACTTGGAACAAACATATTGTAGTACAAACAACTATGCCACACGTGATGTATTGGGTGACAGCATGCCCACCAGGTCAAAGCACTCAAGAGATCATTATCTTTCCTTAACAAACACAGGAAGGGGATTGAAGAACAATCCTTCAGGCTTCATACATGAATAAGCAAGATAATAATCTCAAAACGGAATCCTATACCACAGGTTTAGGCAATCAATAATCTGTACCAGAAATTCAAGTCTCATTAGATTCTACTTATGCCTATGTCACATTATATATCATCAGGCAAATCTACAGTACAGAATCACAGCTGTCATAAAAATAAAAACAGTATCCAAAATACAAAGTAATAATACCGATCAATGTCTAAATTCAGTTCAAACAGTAGCAGCCAAAAATGTTTTTGTCAAAACTTTTCTGAAACGTGGTATTTGGCATCAGACTGTGATGAATCTGGTATCAAGAAATGAATCATAATAGTTGAGCCTACTAGATCAAACAGAATTTAACTAAATTCAGACTGAAGATGCAACTGCAGATATATCATATCTTCAAACATTAAAGCTCTCTCCGCTCTAAAGGTGTATCTGTACTAAATGTCCAATACACTTTATAATTTCCCTCAAGCTTGTAGACAAACATTTCAAAATCAGTTCTGTATACTAGGTGTGAATGTATTAACTTCTGAGTGTAAATCTTGTACCAAAATATGAGTCACTTTTCACAAGTCGACCATGTTATACACATGCTGTTGTATTCCTGATGTCTGAGAAATACTGCCACTCACCTGTTGATGTTCCTTGTTATTATTATGGGTATGTCTGGGTCTGCGACGAGGTGTAATTCCAATTTCAACGCCTCGAAGTATGGAGTCCACAACTGGATAAAAGAAAGAGAAATCAGATTCAGCTCTCTTACCCCTGAAATCCATGAGGGCAAAACAAACCACGCTGCATCTAACATCAACTTCACATCCGTGAGTTTGTAGTAGTGACTGAAACCAACAAAGAAAGCCAGTCCGTAGGCCGGCATATGACTCACAGTGTGACTGCCATGTTCTCTGACATCTTGAGCGGCTCACGTCATCAACCCACAAAGGTCAGGGAACACACCTTTCTTTATTCACCCAGGGCTTAGCACAGGTTATTTTCATATTCCCTATCCGGGTCTGTCTTGGGTCTCTGCGGTGTGCTGATAACGCCAGCTCAAATGAGCAGAGCACAACTGATACTGGGCTGTAAGTGGGAAATTGCCTGACTGCTGTGTTTGTGCCGTGTCTGATCAGGTGCTTGAATGCAGCATACACCAGACAGCCTGCTTGGTTAACAATGGGCCTACACAAATTTGTTACACACAGTGTTAGGACCTGGCTTTGGCTTATCACTGTGGTGTAAGGTTCAAGTACAGAAAATCAATTCCAAGCTAAGGGGACAAGGATCTCCATTGGAGGTTATCTTCCACAGGAGGCCGGCCTGGTGACCAGATAACTACCAACAGCCTAACTATCAACTAAATAATGTGTGGTATTTGCCAAAACAAGATTACAGACTCATTCTCCTGTCTGGGACCCAGTCCAGATTGGTGTTTACTTCAATTGATTGTAGTGAATAATTCATTCTTCTCTTCAATGCTATGGCAATTTAAAACTGGCATCAATATAGGATTATGAGTCTAGCTCCCTGTCGGTCATTTTTCAATTTTGGTGGAATTAACCTTATTTTCTCTTGTGGTGATCTGAGAAAGTAGTGCTGCCATTGAATATGTTATTGTCAGACAGCTGAAACCTACATGGGATTAAGATCATGGGCTATTGCACGCAATGTCCATTTTTGACACTTACAGAGCGTCAAGTACTTCTGAGTGTGAATAACATAGCTCTGGCTGCATACCAACTTGCAATATTTAATTCTTTACATATAAGATTCTGCATATATTTCCTAAACAGTATTCAGAAACCATTACTGTCCAAGTCGCTTCAAATCCATATCCTGTAGAAGTGATTCTGTTCTGGTGGAAATATTTCACTCTAAAAAAATCAATACCTAGTGGCTATTGTGATTGTGAAGCAGATTGAAGGTGTTACACCCTAAGGGGTTGTTGCACTTATTACATTAACACCAGATTACCCATGCAAAATGCAAGCACCTAGCCATTCTACACCAGGCTATTATCAACAGGCTAAGTCTTCAACCGTTGTGTGGAAATTAATGTTGCCATCAACCACATCATAAATATCCATGTCACAGCCTTGTGACTTAAAAGGTCTCCATATTTTTTCCTAAGCCATCTTGAAAGCCATTTCACCACATTCTCTACAAGCTAAGACTACCAGCTCAGCAGTGGCACATGTCGAAATCAAGGTATCGATTTTTCAAACTTGCCCAAGTTGATGCGTTCTTTTCTGAGAGTAATAAATTCCGGATTCATTTTCTGTGAGAGTCTGCCAGTGATTAATTTGCTCTGAGAAATCTGCGTCATTGGTCCAAACCAGTCTTGTCAGGCAATTTCCCACCGTTGTTAATAGCATCCTTACAGATAGTCTATATAGGTGATTGGGTCTTGCTTTGTCAATTATTACAGAGAATCAAATTAACTTCTCTTGACCAACTGAGCAGTCACAGTCATTCCTTCTTCAGACAGCATCTTAAATATACTGCCACTACTGATTAAAACATTGAGAAGCTCTTCCAATATATCCATATATCTTTAAAAATCATACCCTTTTAGTCTCATCAGGATTGAAAAACAGTTCATTTTAAATGCACAAAATAACAAACAGAAAATCCATTTTACCTCAAACAGGAAATTCTTAATAAGTACCTTACCGGCATAAATTTCACTTATGCAGGTTCACTAAGAAATACTTTCTAAGCTTTTTTCTTCCAACTTACTAAAAATACAATTTTTCCACTGCTTGTTTTGGCTGATAAACAACCTACTCCAAAACGATAAACAAGATGAGTCAACTTTTTTTTATCTGATACATCTTTACATGCTCATATCATTACCAGAGCAGAGATCTCGAAAGTAATATGTTGTTTGGCAAATCTCCCAGAAATATTTTGGGATTGGAATTCACATTTGTAGTTGATTAAGAGGCCAGCTGGCAGTGACAGGAAAACTGGCAAGCATGTAGCAAAAGACTGCAGCAATTGCACATCTCTTGAGGGAGACACACAAATATATGTTGTGGTATGCGGAGAAGAAGCCTGTGCCGCTGTCTGGAATGAGGTGAGAATTGGCCTGATGAAAACAAGACCACTTCTCATTTTGTGTAACATGATGACTTACAATGATATCTATCAGTGTAATGCTGGTGGCACTCACAACAAAACTGGTGTTGACATATTTTACAACAGATGGTGAACATTGCTAGACGGGTCTGACCTGCAGATGGTGGAACTCCATGTTATGTGAGCAAGTTATTCATATTAAGAGAGACTTGCCATCTTTCTTTTTGGTCTTACTGTACCCTGTTCAGTTAATCAGTCAATGCTGGGTTTTTTCATTTGGATTTGAATCATAAGAGATTGTGATGTTTGGGATATTTTGGTTTATGATTTGAAAACGGCACTCATGGACTAAGGGTTGGGGTTGATAAGTCCAAAATATATTTACAGGACAGAATAACTTGTCTATGACCATAAAAAAGAAAGACAGAAACAAAATGTGAGAACCTTTACTGCTGAAGCACAGAAAATGACCCAAGCTCAGGACATTCTCTGAATTCACCTGACAAATACCTGAAGCAAATTTGACTGTTTGACATAATGACTTCTACATGCCATGGGCACAGGGCAATTCAACTTGTCACCAACCTCTTTGGGGTTGACTTTGGGGTGGAGTTGTGTTTAGGTGGTAGTTGAGGTTAGATAGGGTTTTGTTTGGGTGGAAAGTCAATTGGATCTGGCAAATAGGGGAAGGCTTTAAGCGGTACAGTGTGAATGAACTTAAATGGCAACTCCACACTTCGTAAGTGATGAAGATGCACAGCCCTCACGATATCGCAGGAAAAACAGCTTTCCCAAAATAAGTATGTGTATAATGGAACTAGAAGGTGTAGTGTTTTTGCCTGGCATGATGTCTATTTGGAACAGAGTAAACAGTATCTGTTGTGAGTTTTCTGAAATGGCCTGGCACAGAACCAAACTATGCTGGTGTAATCTACCAGACATTATCATATTGAATTTCTTTCCTGAACTCAGTAACATTCTGTGTGAAAATATTTACAGGTAAACATCTGCAGCAGCTGAATAGCTGAGGCAAAAGGGCACCTTATCACATTGTGTCATCATGGGCAGGTTCAGATTGGTTGGAGAGGGAAAAAAGTCAATAGCTTTCTACTTGGTGGATCACAGACCTAAGATTGGGTTTCAAAGGGGAAGAAAACAAATTGCAACGCCCATATATACCACAACCCCTCTTGGTCTGTTGTCATAATAATACATTAGCTGTAACTAAGGATACAATGAGGAAAGAAATGGTTAAATCCACTGACATTAACAACACTGCTTTGCGTCAAGTTTTACAGGTCAGTCATGATAATAGCTGATCAATAAATGCAATATATTGAGAGACTTTTTCTTGTTTTACACCACTGTCAGCAATACTTCAATAGGCAGTGGCAACACAGCAGCCTATAGACAGACAATTTAGAGCAAGGCTTGCAAATTTTCTTAAACAACCAATCCAGTTTTGTTGCCATTTTTGACCAATTACATTATTGGGAACTACTCCATGTGATCGATCTGGAGCACTTAATCACAAGACAGACATAAAAAGAACACATTTCTATTTGGACACTTTTAGAAAGTATTTTCTTTCAAAGAAACATTAGAAAAGGGGACATCACACTATAATGTAAAACAAGTAAAATAAAAATGCAGATGATATCGTATACAAATTCATAAAAAACTGATAGTTTGGTTACAGTTTCATTATTTGATATCATGGCATAATACCCTTGTCAGAATATCTTCGCAGTATCTGATGGTGTTTGTAATAGGTGACTGAATGAATTTAGAGGTCATGGGTAAATTGGATGATAGTGTATCAGCGGATCATTATTCTTGATACTAATCACTGAACTGTCTGGCCCTGACTCAATTATTAACTGCTAGCTTCAAATAGTTGGTGTTAAACAATACAGGCACAAATACAACATTGGCAGGATTTACTTACCTCCATCATCTATGAGGTGCATCTGAGTATATGCAGGATCTTCATTATGCTCTTCCAAGACGGTGTCATCAGTAACAGCTAAAGTCTGAAATAGACAGAAAAGACGTCACTCAACAAACCGACCGACGCCACAATCATGCATTTTCGTCACCAGCATGGCTGCTGCAGTCCTGACACATGACATTCTGACACGTTATCTTATGCAAGTAACCTTGTCTCGAATCTGATAGCGAAGTATGTTAGCATAAGGAAATCTCTATTGATTTGGTCTAAGGACCGCATAATCAAAAGCTACGTATTGTATAATGATTAAGAACTCAAACATGTCAACGTGACATTACAATAGACCACTGACCTTTCAGAATATTACAATGTTATCAATTTTCAAGTCAATATTAAAAACAAAATTTAAATCCTCATCAGCAGCAGTTATATCTTCCTCATGTCTAAATTATCTTTTTGAATTGAGTTCTCACAAAGAACAATCCAAATCATTAAACAATCCCATTACCTGAGAAGAATGAAACTTGTAAATCCCCTAGAAGGAAATTAAAGACTCATATTTCAAACCAGTCCTTGGCAAACACATATTCAGAGTGCAAATAAATCAATCCAGCTTTCTGGTACATGCACTCCGCCTGTGCTAAGCTAAGCCAAGGTTAATGGAAAACAGTTGTGAGTAGACACTCTAGTATCTGTTCTATCCATCAAGGTATGCTTGTTTTCTCAGCCTCGTCAGTCTACTCCTGACATTTGAATACCTCCTACCTGCCCACATAAAACCCGATACCTTTTGTAGATTGCCTGACCTTTTTCAATATTTTCTGGTTTCTTGCCTGCATAAATCTTTCATGGGCTGTTGGTCAGAGTGTAAAGCTTTAATCATGTCTAGAGCCTCGTATGGTTGAAACAGCATGCACAGAGGGAACTAACAGTAAAGTGACGTTGCATTGTGCTCAAGAAGAAGTCATACAACTCAAACAGGCCTACCTAGGTCAAAGTTAGCAGATTGTTTATTTGTGAGGCCACTTGCTGGTCAAGCTGCCCACACTGACTGGAGGAATGTGACCGATCTCGCACAAGCCTGGCCAACCTCTTCTCTCTCCTTCCTGTTTGGCCACGTGGTTGTTCAGTTTTTAAGACAATGCACTGGGTCTATCTCAGCTTGATCTGATAGTGCGATTTTACCACAATTTGATGTTTCATACAAATCTACTTTATATACACATTGAACATAACACTATAAATACCTTATCTCGTATCTCTACAAATATTCTGAAGATATCATAAACCATCACATAAAATATTATCACTTAAGTTAAATTTTTCAAGCACAGCATAACTGACATTATCAAATTTCTTTACTGACAAACATAACACTGAAATATTAACTTACAAGAAAATCCCTGATTTGCTGTATTGAGCATGAGAAGTGATTTCATGGTAATAACTATCGTCCATACAAATTCATAACAGTCGCATACTTAAACATCCACATCTGTATTTTTCTCTCTAACAGTAACAGAAGCTAATACAGTTTACAACATTATGGGAAGCTGAGGTTGTTTACATGAAGATTTCATCTGGTACAGGACAGGGTCAGAAGACAGCACATGGCGATGAAGAAGACAATAGGTCATAAGTCAGAACCTGTTTCCTGCTCAGCATCCGATATTGACTCACATGACACGTTTCATATCAAGTTTCCAGTACAGGCAGAAATTACTCAACAAAATTATCTGGGGCGGATGGGGCTGATAGGACGTATTTGATTTGCAGGACACACAACACTAACTTTAATACTATTTGAAAGCTTTGTAAATAAAATCTCTAACTTCAAGCAGGCTTTTAAACACTCTTGAACAATTTATGAATTATTAACCAGTCATTCCAAAAAAGTAGTATTGATATTATACCGAGGTCATCCCCTCAAAACAACCAAACACAGATCAAAAGGAATGCAATAGTCAGTACTGGTACAGAATTCAATATCAATTTTGAATTACATTATTTTTTTAGGGAAACCTTTAAACCTGATTACTGACTGTAACATTACACCTGTTTTGTCTTTGTTTGTCAAGTACTATTTCATTCAAAATCTTAACCAATTTTACCATTTGAATAGGTATAGTTTCATGGTTAAGCTTAAAAACATTACCAGTGGCCTTGTATTACTTCAATTGATAAAACAATACTTAATTCAATATATCTGACACTTCCAAATATATTTATACAAATAGACACTCTAACATTCATAAATGCCTGAGAAATGTCTCAAATGACATTTTAACATTGTCACCGCATGATTCAATGGCGTGTGGTGTGTAGTTTATATGCAGCTATGAACAGCATGACAGGATCATGACATGTAAGTACAATGTGGGAGGACATCCCAATGTGACACAAATCCTGTGAAACCAACAAGGAGGTGTAAACTACAGACAGACCCAGTTCATGATACAAGTGACTGAAAACCCGTTAAACTTAACGTAGTAATCATAACAGCAAATTTTGAAATCATTCAACCACCCCCTGCCAATTCTACCTACAAAAATTAAATCTGGTATATTATTTGAATCTTGTGTACAAAATACCAGCATTAGATGGAAAGGAAACTAAAAATCCCATGTTGAATAAACACCTGTGATTCTGCAAAAAGCACAAACATACTCACAAAGAAAAGAATATATGCGTGGGTCACAAGAGCTGCAGTTTCATCATAATCTCTGTAGGTCAAGATGTTATCAGCAGTGAACCATACAGCTGCTAAGCCTAGATTTCAACACTAACCACAGGTGATGTTATATGTCACGTAGACACTATGATGCATATTTACCTGAACGTATTTCAAGGATAAGGTTACACTACAGCAGTACAATGGGATTAATATGAATACAACCATGGCCATGTGATAATATCAAATGAGAATCACATGTTATCTCAACAGAAATAATCCACGATTTCAGACTGACTGACTGACTGAATTTGGTTTTACGCCGCTTTCAGCAACATTCCAACAACATCACGGCGGGGAACACCAGAAATGGGCTTCACACATTGTACCCTTGTGGGGATTCGAACCCGGGTCCTCGGCGTTGCCGAGCCAACGCTTTAACCACTAGGCTACCCCAACGACCCACGATTTCAGAGAATACCAGGGTTATAAATACAACATGACTGATATATTCACTGACACTGATACATTTTGCAAGACAATTCATGATGTGGATCATGATCAAGAAGATGAGGCTGAATTTTCACAAACACAGTATGAACATTGTGTAACAGAATCCTGATATCATCACAAAACTTTTTATTTCATTGAAATTTGGGTTTATTACACAGCAACAACATGATTCTACTGAATGTTTGAATTGACAACAAAGGTCTCAAATTTCCACTAATACCAGATTATAGATTCTTTTGTAGAATCCTAAACCAAAAGGAAATCATACATGTCCCTTCACAAGAAAAGCGTTTATAATAATATCATAATGCATAACTAAATGTCACAGTGCATTTGCGAACCTTTAAGTCAAATTAAGGCAGTATATAAGAAACACTGATGATTCTTGCAAAACACATATGTATTTTAAGCTTTTTTTTTTTATAAGGACAGAACGTTAAGCGTGACAAAACATCAAACATGACCGTTCTCATTGTAATAGTCAACGAGTTTTAAGCAGCTGTACATTCCTTAACTATCAATCTTGCTGCAGATCATCCCATTTTCTGTTATCTAGTCTAGCCGGTTTTTAGGCCTGTTTCTAGAGAAAACGATAGGAAATCATGCACAACAGTTTGCTTTGATGTTTAATACTTCCTGAACAGTATTGATGTTGCTTCAGATATCATATATAAACTGTGATATGTTGTTTCACATTGTAGTTGTCAATATCCATGGTGGTAAGTAAGTTTTAAAGAGTCTCACTGTCTGACAGAAACCCCAGTGTTTGATCTATACTGTCACAATTACGAAACCAGATCACAAATTGTAAGCAACTGTTTGTTTCACAGAGACATACACAGAGACAGCATGGGTAGCTGGGGACCTAAGGTACAGGGTTCATTCTGATAAAGATAACAAAGGCTACTTATCAAACCAGCACATACTCATAATTTCTCCTGTCATGTGTTGATATGTACATACCTATGTACCATCTTGACATACAAGTGATGAGGGCCGTCAACAATTGCACCAGTCATACAGGGGTTCAGCATTGAGGTGTACTACCCATGTTATTCACTTGAATGAAGTATTGGCTTTCCCCACTCTGTATGTATTAACTTTATGACACCAGGGCCTTATATTGAGGTACAAGCATGACGATCTCCCACCTTGATGTATAAAATGTAGTACACCAGGGTGCCATTGTTCAAAATAACCTCAGATGCCACAACTGTCTTCAGTATGTTGAGGTAAGTTATGATCGCCTTAGCGCCGAGACCGTTTTCTACCCTTTGCATTATATCAAGCTAGGCATCAAGTTAACCAGTATGTATAACTGAAAAACATCCCATAGTGAGGAACAGACATCAAGATCTCCCACCCTGTATGTATAAACTCAAGTACACCTGGGTCCCTATACTGAGGTGTTATACAGTGGTGATGTAAGCAGGCCTCGACTCACGAGGGGTGATGACCACATGTTTGTCAGCAAGTCCTGCTCAAGGCCGACACTTCCTCTCTGCAATAGCCCAAGTTCGCAGTGCAGTGTTTACACGCACACTCCCTCCATTGTTTACTCACAGTCCACAAGGAATGGAGCACGGTTTTCACAAATGCAAGCTTCACAGACTGATTCAATATTTGCGGCCACGTGAGCACCTTGAACGCAGCACTAGGATCAATCAGCAAATCTACAGGTCAAAAACTTACTCCACCGCAATTCAAAGCAAAAAATATCCTCATCACTTTCCTGTCCTATATTTGAAAAAGCACGAACTTCCATCCTAGAATTTGAAGATCAGCAAAGCAAGCTATAAGCTGTGTTTCCTCCTTCAAGTCTAGAATTAGCATTCCATATGCTATCTGCCAAGCCAAGGTGCAAAACAAATTGAACTTATAAATAGCCAAATCTGATA